TGTCAGTTTGGGAAGATGGACGGGGCGGTGATGGCTGCACAACAGTGTGAACTTAATGCCACGGAAACTCTACACTTAAAAATGGTACATTAGGCTGGCGTGATGGCTGGAAACAACTCTATGCTTAAAAATGGTACATTAGGCCCGCGTGATGTCCGGAACTCTACGCTCAAACATGGTATATTAGGCCGGGCGTGATGGCTCACACCTGTAATCCCAGCATTTGGGGAGGCCAAGGCAGGTGGATCATGTGGGGAAAAGAGAGATCAGATTGTAACTGTGTCTGTGTAGAAAAATGAAGACATAAGAAACTCCATTTTGATCTGTACTAAGAAAAATTGTTCTGCTTTGAGATGCTGTTAATCTGTAACTCTTGTCCCAACCCTGTGCTCACAAAAGCATATCCTGTATGGAATCAAGGTTTAAGGGATTTAGGGCCGTGCAGGATGTGCTTTGTTAAAAACGTGTTTGTGAAAGTCATCGCCATTCTCCATTCTCGATTAACCAGAGACACAATGCACTGTGCAAGGCCACAGGGACCCCTGCCCAAGAAAGCCTGGGTATTGTCCAGGTTCCCCCGCACTGAGACAGCCTAAGATATGGCCTCATGGGAAGGGAAAGACCACAGTCCCCCAATCTGACACCCACAAAGGGTCTGTGCTGAGGAGGAGTAGTGCAAGAGGGAGGCCTCTGTGCAGTTGAGATAAGAGGAAGGCATCTACCTCCTGCTTGTCCCTGGGAATGGAATGTCTCGGTGTAAAACCCGACCATACATTCTATTTACTAAAATAGGAGAAAACCGCCCTATGGCTGGAGGTGAGACATGCTGGCAGCAGTACTGTTCTGCTGCTCTTTACTGCACTGAGATGTTTGTGTAAAGTTAAACATAAATCTGGCCTACGTGCACATCCAGGCACAGCACCTTTCCTTAAACTTATTTATGACAGAGTCTTTTGTTCACACATTTTCCTACTGACCCTCTCCCCACCATCACCCTATAGTCACACCGCATTCCCCTCACCAAAATAATAAAGATAGTGATCAACAAATACTGAGGGAACTTAGAGACCAGCGCCAGTGCAGGTCCTCACTTGCTGAGCGCCAGTCCCCTGGACCCACTTTTCTTCCTCTATACTTTTGTCTCTGTGTCTTATTTCCATTTCTCAGTCTCTCGTCTCCACCTTGCAAGAAATACCCACAGGTGTGGAGGGGCAGGCCTCCTTCAGGATCACTTATGCTTAGGAGTTTGAGATCAGCCTGGGCAACATGATGAAACCCCATCTTTACAAAAAAAATAAAAATTTGCCAGGCGTGGTGGCACATGCCTGCAGTTCCAGCTATTTGGGGCAGCTGAGGCAGGAGGATTGCCTCAACCTGGGAGGTTGAGGCTACAGTGAGCTGAGATTGTGCTGCTGTACTCTAGTCTGGGTGACAGAGCAAGACCTCATTTCCAAAAAAAAAAAAAGTACATTTTATGTGGATTTTACCACAATTAAACCAAAACAGTAACAGATAACAGACACACAAAATGATTGGCGTGGTGGCACGCGCCTGTAGTTCCAGCTACTCCACAGGCTGAGGCAGGAGAATCGCTTGAACCCGGCAGTGGAGGTTGCAGTGAGCCGAGATCGCACCACTGCACTCCAGCCTCGGGGACAGAGTGAGACTCTATCAGAGACTGGGAGACGCCAGATTCTAGGTGTATAAAAATATAACATATAAAGTTGGGGAGGCCATGTTAGTTACC